TGGGTAGGTGGGAGGAGAAATATGCAAACAAACATGTAAAAACAGAACATATACAGGGTAACTTAGAGGCAGCTAGGTGGCCCCATGGAGCACTGAGCGCTGGACCTGGAGTCAGGAAGACCTGAGTTCAAATGTGACCTCACACTTTCTGTGTGACCCTGGGCAAGTCTCTTTAATTCTGTCTGCCTTGGTTTCCTCATCTGTAAAATGAGGATAATAATAGCACCTATCTCCCAGAGTTATGAACTTAAAATGAGATAATATTTATAAAACATTTTGCAAACCCAAGTACTATATAAATATAAAGCACTATTGTTAGCTCTTATAATCAACAGAGGAAAGCAGTAGCATTAAGGGGGAATCAGAAAAGGCTTTTTTTAGAAGGTGAGATTTTAGCTGGGACTTGGAGAAAGCCAGGGAAGCCGGGAGGCAGAGATGAGGAGGGAGAGAATTCTAGGCACAGGGAATAGTCTGTGAAAATGGCTGGGAGTGTCTTTGGAGGTGGGGTGTCTTGTCTGAGAAACAGTCAGGAAGTCAGTATCACTGGACGGCAGGTATAGGGATGGGGTTGGGAGGAGGGAGATAAGGCATCAAAAGACCAGAAAGGTAGGAGGAGGGCCAGGTTATAAAGGGTTTCAAATGCTAAACAGAAGACTCTATATTTGATTTTGGAGGTGATAGGGAGCTGCTGGAGTGAGTGGGTATGTGTGTGCATGTGCACGTGTGACATGCTCAGACTGCACGTTAAGGAAGATCAGTTTGATAATGGAGTGGAGGATGGATTAGAGAGAGACTTAAGGCAGAGATACCACCCAGCAAGTAGGACAATAGTCCAGGCGCAAGGCGATAAGGGCCTAAATTGGGGTGGTAGCAGGGTCAGAGGAAAGCGGGGGCAGCAGAGGGCTATAAAACAGCTATTGACCCAGCAATGGCACTTCTAGGGCTGTATCCCAAAGAGATCAAAGACAAAAGAAAAGGACCCACATGTACAAAAATATTTATAGCAGCTCTGTTTGTGGTGGCAAAGAATTGGAAATCAATGCCCATCAACTGGGAAATGGCTGAACAAGTTGTGGTATATGATTGTGATGGAATACTATTGTGCTATGAGAAATGATGAGCAGGATGGTTTCAGAAAAAACTTGGAAGGGGCAGCTAGGTGGCACAGTAGATAGTGCCCTGGGGTCAGGAGGACCTGAGTTCAAATCTGGCCTCAGACACTTGACAAGACCCTGGGCAAGTCACTTAACCCTGATTGCCTCACCAAAACAAAAAACCTGGAAAGACTTATATGAATTGATGAAAAGTGAAGTGAGAAGAACCGGGAGGTTGTTGTATATAGTAATAGTAATATTGTATGATGATCGGCTGTGAAAGACTTGGCTACTCTGATCAAGACAATTTCAAAGGACTCATGCAATTAAATGCTAGCTGATGAACTCTGAGTACAAATTGAAATATAATTTTCTCATTTTCTTTATGTTTTTCAAATATGGCTAATATGGAAAATGTTTTGCATGCTTTCACATGTGTAATTGACATGTTGTTTGCCTTCTCAGTGGGTGGGGGAGAAGGTTGGGAGGAAGGAAGAGAATTTGGAATTCAAAATTTAAAAATAAAAGAATGTTAAAAAACAAATAATAAAATGTAAAAAAAAGAAGGGGGCACACACAAGAGATGTTACAAAATTAAATCTATAGGATGTGGCAATGAGTTTGTTATGGGGGAGGGGTGAGAGAGAGACTGAAAAATCAAGGCTACCACTTAGGTGGTGGGCTTGGGTGACTGGGAGTATGATGGTGACCTCAGGAATAACAGGAGAGTTGGGAAGAGGGAAGAGTTGGAGGAGAAAGATAAGTTGGTTTTGAACATGTTGAGTTTATGATATCTACTGGACATCTAGCTTGAGATGTCTGGAAGGTGTTTGTGAGACTGGAGGTCAGCAGAGAGATTGGGGCAGGAGAAGTAAATTTGAGAATCCTCAGCATGGGAGGTGCTGAGATCCCCAAGTAAAGAAGGCTAGAGGGAGAAGAGAAGAGAGTGAATTGTATTGACTCTCTAGACCAGCCCCCGCCTCCTACAAGCCCTTGGTTAAATCCCAGTAGTCTTGGCTAGAATGGGGGAGAAGAGAGAGATTTCACCTTGAGTTATGTCAAGTTCCTGCTCAGACTTGGGAAGGAAGCAGAGAACAATGCCCTAACACTTCTTCAAAGGTTGACCATTGAAGGTCATTCTGATTGGGGAAGCAGAAACCTCAGACCATTTCTGAAAATGGTGATAACCCCTGTGACCCTGGGCAACCATTCCCTACTACACTCACTGTCATTGTTTCTTATCTACTGGATAAGTAGATCTAAGAATCTGAGGCCAGGAGGCAGAGATGGGGAGGGAGAGCATTTTGGGCATGGGAGACAGCCAGAGAAAATGGCTGGAGTTGGGAGATGGAAAGTCACTTTTTTACTCACAACCATTCTAGGAGGGAGGTGCTGTTATTATCCCCATTTTACAGTTGAGGAAACTGAGGCAGGCAAGGTGACGTGACTTGCTCAGGGTCACATAGCTAATAAGTTTCTGAGGCTGAATTTGAACTCATGTCTTCCTGACTCCAGACCCAGAGTGCATTCTGTACTTTACAAGGAAAAGGTTTTGTAAACCATTTAGAACTATAGAGGACAGTAGGGGAGGAATCGTGTAGTTGAGATATTACAAAGGTAAAAGGTGGTGGGACTGGTAGCTATTGTCATCATCATCATCATCATCATCGTCATCATCATCATCATCATCATCAAAGATCCCTTATAGCTGTGACAAGCTGTGTTTCATGAACTCTGTCCTATTCTTGTCCTTTATAGCTCACATACATGCTTCAAGAATGCCTGAGCATTCAGGCCTTTTCTCCCCCCGTTCTTGAAGGACTTGGAAACTCCTGTGTTCTTCACTCGTCAGTAAGTCAGCTGCCTATTGGTCACAGGCCAGCCAAGCATCATGGAGGGAGCAGATTATCCAGCCCCTCTGTCTCGACCCAATAGCCCCCATTAGCCCGGTCAGGGTGCGAGGGCAAGGGGCAAAGAGAGCTGATGGGAGCATTAGGAACCCCAGGAATCCAGGGGGCAAATAAGATAATAGTTATAAGTGCTTAGCAGAGTGCCTGGTGTATTGTAAGAGCCACATAAATGCTTATTCTATTCTGTTCCTGTCCCCCCACCCCAGGGTGGGTGGGTGGGGGGCATTCTGACTTTCGTGTAATTGACTGTGCCAGAGATTTTGGCTATGTTAACCTTGACTCTGAATGGAAGCCCCAGACGGATTTTAGGCCTGGCTGTTAACATTTAGTAACAATCACAAATGAGGGAGAGAGAGAGAGAGAGAGAGAGAGAGAGAGAGAGAGAGAGAGAGAGAGAGAGAGAGAGAGAGAGAGAGAGAGAGAGAGAGAGAGAGAGAGAGAGAGAGAGAGAGAGAGAGACAATGAATTCTGTTGCATAGAGGCCCTGGGGTGGCTGACTTGGTAACTGCAAGGGCTGGCCGGGCTGTCTTCCATTTCTTCAGAGACTGAGGGGCAGACTCACAAAGCACTGGACTTGACATCAGAAGGCCTGGGTCTGGGTCCTAGTTCTGAAAATTTCTAGTTGTAGGACCAAGACTCAGTTTCCCTTTCTGTAAAATAGAGGTCACAGTCTCTTCCCTGCCTCCTTCTCAGAGTGATTGTAATGTACGAGCTAGAGAACAGGTGGGAAGTGCTTTACATGTAAGTATAAATGTAGCCTCCCGGTTTTGGTTCTGGCTGGGCTCTTCTGGACTTACAGAGCCACTTGGACTGTGTCCAAGGGGTCCCCAGCTGAGGCCCAACCAAGACTCTTAGTCGTACCTGGGACATGGGAGACCCGGGAGCCCGGGGTTCTTGCCTTTGCGGTTTTTTCTGGTTAGGAATGAGTGATGGTTCCGTCTTCAACTTTGGGTCGTCTGCCACGGCATGTTTGTTCCACTTAAAGGGGGAGCCCCCAGGGAAAGAAACCATTTCCTCAGGAGCCCAGCCAGGTTAAGGGAATTGCCCAAGCTTATTAACTTGCCATAGGGACACAGGATTGGTTCCCAGGAGAGCCTGGACATTGTCTTCCCTACATCTCCCATCCCCTTCTTTTATATTTAGGAGATAATCCATGCTCTGCCATTAACTCCTCCTGACCCAAATTTGGCAACTATAGGTTTTTAGTGTCCTCATTCGTAAAATGGGATGGTGCCTTAAAGCCCTGTTTAGTTCTGACATTCTGTAGTCTAAGGTCCATTTTGGTCTGGAGTCTTAGTGTCTGACTAAGCTACTCTATTAAGGATAGGGTGGTAAATGTTTGACAACCCATTATTTAACAACTACAGTTAGGCAGTACAATGGATAGAGCGTTGGGCCTGGAGTTGGGAAGACCTGAGTTCAAATCCAGCCGCAGACACTTACTAGCTGTGTGACCCTGGGCAAGTCACTCAACCTTGTTTGCCCTGTAAAATGAGCTGGAGAAGGAACCAGACTGCCAGTATCTTTGCCAAGAAAACCCCAAAAGGGGTCACAAACTGAATAATAACAACAAAATAGAAAGTATGAATGATACACTTTTAAGTTAAGTCTAGTCCAGAGCTGGGAAATCTGCGGCCTGAATCCAAACTTCACAGAACGAATCCATTTAATAAAAGGATTTGTTTGGTAAAACTTGGACTCAGTCAAAAGGCTGCACCCAAGGACGTAGAAGTCTTTAACCATGAAGTATGGGGTTCCTGGTTTGTGAAAGGCAGTGGAAGGGTACAGCAGGGAAGGAGACTTAGGCTGGGTGAGAAGGCCTGGGGTTTCAGGCCTGGATTCCACCTTGAACTTGCTAACTGTAGATTCTACCTCCTAGAAGGTCTTCAAGCAGAGACTTGCGTGTTTGAATGGGGATTCCCTTAGTGTCTGGGTTAGATGAGACGGCACCTCCCACCTGTCACATTCTCTGATGCTGTGATTCTGTTGTGTCTAGGACCCTGATCCTGTAACCTCTGTCTTTGACCTATAAAATGGGTGCAAGACCTGCCTCTTGGAGCTGGTGCAGGATTCAAAGGAGATCACGAATGGGAGATACATCTGAGCTCTCCTCATGCTGCCCTTAATCGAGGTAGGGAAGAGAAGAGGCGGAAGAAACTTGAGAGGAAGGTAAGACTAGCTCCTTTAGCAAGTAAAACTTTTATTAAATAAATTTAGGTTCTTTAGACCAGAGAGAGGAGTTTTGGACATTAAGACGATGTTTGCTCTTACCTGTAACATTTGACAGTCACATAGTTCACTCTGGTAGAAGAAACTTGATCTTTGACACAGAATTCAAATCAGATTAACCGAAAATTTCCCAAAGTCTTTTTTTGTTTGTTTGTTTGTTTAAAATTAGATAAGTTCAAACTTCATGAAATTACTTGTAGCAGAAATAAGGTACAAATCACGTACATAATAGATGTCAGGTATAAAAATGGTATTTACAACCAGTAAACATGGACTATAGAAACACGCGACTTCCACTCCTGCAGCCTCATGCGCACGCTCACTCACGCAGGCCATGCGGCCAGTGGCCGGGGAGCCACACCGCCACACCGCCACACTCTTCTGAAAGGGGGGGGGTCTGAGGAGCATGGAGGAGGCGGCCTGAGGAGGGCAGAGCATGATGCGGCACCGTGAGGTCCAAGAGAAGCCAGGCAGCAGCCCCTGCCTTCCCCCTTGAAGAAGCAACTTCTCCCTCCCTCATTTGCTCTTTTTCTCCCGCCGATGCACTACCTACGAAGGCTTGCACGTTCAGGCACGCACACGCACACACACAGACACACACAGACACGCGCACACCAATAGGAATGTTCTTGGTACATTATCAAACTCTGGAATCTTGAAACAAGCTCTTTAGAAGATGGTTGGGGATTTTTTTTTCTTTTTTTTCATCTTTTAGGGTATTTTGGGAGAAATGAACGGGGCTGTTTTCAGGTGGTCCAATTGTTATGTATCCTAGCCGGGTCATGCCCTGGTGTGGGAATGAGACTAACCAAGCTTTGACCTCGGTTCTGTGCTTAACTTATGGGATTCTATATGGAGATAGAGACATATCTGGATAGATACATGTGGGCTGCCTTCTGTGTCCTGGGGAAAATCTGGTCTGCTCGGTTCTTCCTGGCACTAGCTCAGAGAAGGACCAAATTGGTGTCAAAAGACAGTCTCCCTTCCCGCAAAACCTCCTTGGAGAAAACGTCGTCCCAAGGGTGTATTTGGTCAATAAGAGGCTGGACCAGCTGAATACCAGTGAGTCTAGTTCTCTTCAATCTTGACCCCCTAAGTAAGGCAGGGGGCTGGTATATTCAGGGGCAGGAGGCAGCTGCCAGGGGGCTGGGAGGTGGGTGAGATGGGGTCCCGTAATTCCCTCCCCCCAGCACCCCACAGAAGAAAGATGGAACCCAAAGGCTGAACGGATAAGGCTATGAAGATGAAGATGGTGGGGGAGACAAGGGTGTGAGCCGGGAAGGGGAGGGAGAGTTGAAGGTAATTTTTGTGCCTAAACCCAGGTGCAAGGGGATTCCTATGGGGATGGGATCGAGCCAGAGTCTCAAATCCACGGGCCTGCTGGCCCTGCAAGGACTCAAGCTTGCCTAACCAAGCTGGCCTGAAGGCCATCCAAAGATTCTTCAGTGGTTCATCCAGTTGCCGCCATGGTAACAAGATCCTGGAGGTATATAGTGTTGGAGCACTTTCCATCCTTGCTTCCTCAAAAGCCCGAACCTAATACTGAGCAGAGAGAGCGAGCGAGAGGGTGCCTGATTCTTGCCACCCTTCCGTTTCTCCCTCTGATAATGTTCAGGGCTCGTTAAGTTCCTGTTGAGATGACATAATCCTTTTCCCACAGGCAGAAGTCTCTGCAAAGTTTGGTCCTGTGATTTACTTAAAAAAAAATATATACTGTATATATATATATGTATATATATGAAAGGGTGAGTCTCAAAGTTCTGAGAGTTGTCATGGTGACCTAGAGACACAACAATGAACATTCTGGTCCACAATGCTTCACTCTTTCCCTGTGTCCTCTCAGGGTGGAGAATCCTTGGTCCCCAAGGGGCCATGTTTGGTCCCCAGGACATTGTTGGAGCCCCCCGTGGGAAGGATCTCCTTGCCGTCGCCTTCCAAAGCTGCGTTCCTCTCCAATGTTTCACATTTTTTGGGGGGTGGGGTGTTGCAGGGGATAGGAAGGGGAGGGCTGGTGTCAAAAACAGTTTGTAATTTACTGGAATCTCCTGGATCTATTTGAAGCTGCAAACCGTCCTCTGGATTTGCCCCTCACCTGATGGAGAAGGAAGGTAAATTATGAGGGAAGTCAGCCTCTGTTGAGTGTGCCTACCCGAGGGGACCTGTAAGAGCTTCCAAATCTGGAACAGAATCAGATGTCCTTTTACTCTCCTGTTCTTGCCTCCTTCCCACCCCGGGCTTCCCTTGCTTGTGGCTCTCAAAGTGTTTCAGGACAGCAGAGGCAGCCAGAAGCCCATAGCGTCTTGGACCAAGGGCCATGAGGATGGAAATTCCTGATGGGTATCACCATGAGTCAACTCTGTCTAGGCTGTTATGCCAAGGTTAACAACCCAGTCAAAGGCAAGCCAGATCTCCTGAAAGGCAACCAACCAGAAAGAGAAGACTTGCCCTCTATGATGTCAGCCTTTGCCCTTAGTAACCCTCACTTCTTTTTTTTTTTAGGCAATTGGGGTTAAGTGACTTGCCCAAGGTCACACAGCTAGTAAGTGTCAAGTGTTTGGTCTGAGGCGGGATTTGAGCTCAGGTCCTCCTGACTTCAGGGCCGGTGCTCTATCCACTGTGCCACCTAGCTGCCCCAGTAACCCTCACTTTTGAAGAACTAGGACTTCTATTTTCAAGGGAGAGCAGTATTAATTATTATTTGTGATATTATTTAATGTTATAATATATTATATTATTATATTATAACCATATAATATAATAATATAATATTATTTAAGCTAGGACAAGGATGGCCCTACTTCAAGTGTTGGTAGCAACTTTTTTGAAGTCTTTTTTTTTTTTTGGCTAGGCAATGGGGTTAAGTGACTTGCCCACACAGCTAGTAAGTGTTATGTGCCTGAGGCTGGATTTGAACTCAGGTCGTCCTGAATCCAGGGCCGGTGCTCTATCCACTGTGCTACCTAGCTGCCCCTACTTTTTTGAGATCTTAAGGAAGGTGCTGAGATTACTGGAGGGAACTGGGTATAATCATTGGGCTGAGCCTGAAGCCCTTCCCCCTCCTCCTTGCCCTCCTTGCCAGAGATGGGCATCTGAAATTAATCAAAACCTATAGGAGTCCCCACCACCACCACTCTGCCACCATCTTGCCTTTATAGTAGCCAGGACCAGGACTCACTGTTGCCTTCTGGGCCTGAAACAAGAACCCACAATCGCCCCATGTGGCCGGAAAAGGGAGGTAGCCTTCTTACCTGTGCTGCAAGGTCTGTCAGTAAGGGTGGCTGGCATCTTTGGGCCTCTTCAACTGGACCTTCAATCTCTTCATGCCAATCTGGAAGCCATTCATGGCCTGGATGGCCGTCTGGGCACTGGATGGGTTGTCAAAGCTCACAAAACCTGGAGGCCAGAGCAGAGGGGGAAGGGATGCTAAGTGGGAGGCGGTGTCCAGAGAGGGGGAGCTCTTCCTTTGGCTGTCTGACTCTTAGCAGTAGCGCTTAGTGAGACCAATGACCCTTACCTGCCTTTATTATCTAGCCTTTAGACAAAATGATCCTAGAAGTTTTGGTCTTCCTTGAGAAAAAGAAATGGTGGACAACTCTTTCTTTGCACACATGAGGACAACGAGGCCTAGAAAGGTATAGAAGTGTCAGACCTGAGGCCAATGGTGGACAGTGTGCGGCCTACAACCTCTCAAGTATGCTCTGAACCAGACGAAAATGAAATTGGGAAATACTTGACAAAAGAAATAAAAATACAATAAACGTAGATAACAGTCACATTCTAAAGCCAAGTTAATACAAGGCCTGCAGACATCCTTATGTATCTCTTACTGGTCTCCAATTTTATTGGAGTTTGATACCACTGGTATAGAGAGACCTAGACTTGGAAGTAGAACACCCACGTTCCCATTCCAGCTTTGCCCTTACCCTCTCTGTGCCTCGGTTTCCCTATGGAGAGAACACTTTGTATACCGACCTTACAGGGCAACTGAAGGATTAAAGCAATTTGTAAACTACAAAATGTTACCGAAATATAAGCTTTTACTATTGGGTATCTTGCCTAAGGTCAGTGATTGGTAAGCTAAGGTTAGATTTAACTGTAGACCTAACAGTTAACTTGAAGCCCTCTGATTTTGAGCCCAGCGTGGGATGTCCCAGCATCCCTGAAAGAATTGCTAAGTCCAGTCTATCTTGTTTCCCTAACGGGCCTTACCCTAAAGATGAAAAAAGCCATGAAGTTTGGCCCATACCAATCAATTCCTCTCCTGCCCCCAATGATCACTGATTTCCTGCCCCAGCTCCTCTGTTATGCCCAGTTAACTCCTTTTTAAAAAAATTATTTCATTCAATATTTCCCAGTTGCATGTAACATTTTTTTAACAATCATTTTTTAAAGTTTTGAGTTCCAAATTCTCTCCCTCTCTCCTGCCCCTCCCTGCTCCTTGAGAAGGCAGGCAATTTGATTTTGATTATCTGTTCAGTTAACTCTGTATTTCGTTGTGATGCACAGGTTTTCTATCTTTGCCACCTAGCATCTAGAAAAATTCATAAAACCGAACGAGTAGAAATGATTTTAGGGCTCTTCATGCCTATTCTGGGCCATTAGCAGGACCTATTAACCCTCAAAAAGTCTGCCTTGAAGGGAGTTTCCTGTCACTGGGGGTGTCTGAGAAGGGGTCAGACGTTAGGCTCATGCACTGAGTGAGAGGGTAGGCTACCTGACCTTTGAAATCTCAATTCTCATATGGCCAGGAGAAGGCTAAGAAACAGGAAACCTCTTTCATCTGCTGTCCCCTCTTTCTTATTCCTCCCTTCTCATTCCTGACCCAGAAGCTGACCAGCTCACCTGTCCCCCCTACCCACAATCCCTTGCCCCCCTCATCTAAACACTGCCCCTGGCTCACCAAATCTCAACCCTGGACTATGCCTCCCTTTCCTGTCTTAGTCTTATACTTCCTATGAATATACTGCTGGACAAAGGAGGCTTTCATTTCCCAAAACCATGCTATCATATCATACCTCAGCTGGGTCCTTACCGCTGCACTGAGTGATTACACCCTGCACTGTGGCTATTCCAAACCTTTTCAGTTCTCAGGCCCCCTCCCTCTGCCACCCCTTCTGCCTTCTCTAGCAGAGGCCCTTGCATTCCTCTCTTACTAAGAGAATAAAGATGGGCCACCATGAGCTCTGCTCCCCTCCGCCATACCTCAGTGCCGTTCCCCGTTCTCTCCATGGCTCTGGTCTCTTACAAAGAATGATACCTCTCACTAAGGCCGACCTTGTGTGCCAGGATCGTTCCCTCTGAGTTTGCTAACTCAGATGTTTCCTGTCTTTTATCTTAAAGCTCTCCTTCTCTACAGACTCCTTCTCTGTTACCTAAACAAATGTTCAAGTCTCCCCATCCTTTAAAAACACCTATTTTCTTTTCTTTTTTTTTTTTAGGCAATGGGGGTTAAATGACTTGCTCAGGGTCACACAGCTAGTAAGTGTCAAGTGTTTGATCTGAGGCTGAATCTGAACTCAAGTCTTCCTGACTTCAGGGCCTGTGCTCTATCCGCTGCGTCACCTAGCTGCCCCAAAACACCTATTTTCAAGGGGCAGCTGGGTGGTGCAGTGGATAGAGGTCAGGAGGACCTGAGTTCAAATCCAGCCTCTTGACACCTACTAGCTGTGTGACCCTGGGCAAGTCACTTCACCTTTTTCTGCCTCAATTTCCTCATCTGCAAAATGGGGATAATATCAGCACTCGCCTCCCACGGTTATTCTGAGGATTGAATGAGATGTTTGTAAAGTGTTTTATAAACCTTAAAGCACTATAATAAATGCTAGTTTATCCTTATTTCACTGTTAAAATCCTAGAAAGACTGCACTAGCTGCTTCTTCCTCACCTCTCCTCCTTACTCCTTACATTCCACCTTCCAACCCCTGCTACACAGCTAAAACTGTTATCTCAGGGTGCCAGTGATCTCTTAACTGTTAGATCTGACAGTCCTTCCCCACTCATCCTCCTTGACCCTTCTTAAGCTTCGGTTGTGGTCAATAACCCTCCCCTCGTGGCCCAATTCGTGCTCACTTTCTGCTCACTCTTCAGGACCCTTTGCTTAATTCAATTAAACAAACATCTCCTAAGTCACTACCATGTGTCCCTAGGAAGTAGTGATACAGACAAAAAAGAAATAGTCCCTGCCCTCAAGGAGCTTACATGCTACTGGGGGATATAACATATACTCAAGTAAATGCAAATGTATACATGTAGAGACACACACATGGTCATTTGATCGATTATCTTTGCTACACACATCATACAGAAAAAAAAATGGAAATATATGAAAGGATGGATATTGATGATAACTATGACCCATAGGATTCCCAAGGATACCTAACAGATGTGAATCAGTTACCACAATAAGATGACCCCCAAAGTCTAGAACACTCATCTCCTAACCAAGTACACACACATATATACACATATATACACACATATACACATATACATGTATATACACAAAGCGATCTGCATATATACCTATGTGTGTGTGTGTGTGTGTGTGTGTGTATATACACATACACACATACATATATATAAAGTGATAGTAATTTCAAAGGTACTAATGACTAGGGGAATCAGAAAAGGCTTCTTGTAGGTGATGGCCCCAAAGCTCTGCTTTGAAGAAAGGTAGGGATTATATGAGGTGGAGGTGAGAAACAAATACATTCCAGATGTGGGAGAGCACCTGTGCGTTGGAATGGAGGTAGAAGACGGAGCAATGTCAGGTACAGGACACAGCTAGCAGGCCAATCTGACTGGAGTGGAGCATGCAGAGGGAGTGACGGGAAATAATACTGGCAAATAAGTGGCCACCATATTGTGGAGAGCTTTCAGTGCCAGGCAGAGGAGTTTGTATTTTATCCTAAAGGAAATAGGAAGCCAGTGAAACTTTGTGAAGGAGGGGGAGGGGAGTTCCTTGGTTGGAATGGTATTTTAGGAACGGCAGTTTGGCAGCTGTCGTGGAGGCCGAATGGAAGAGGAGAGAGATGGAAAGCAGGGGGACCGGTTAGGAGACTTTTATAATAATCCAGGCCAGAGATGACAAGGGCTCAAACTAGGTTAAGGGACATATGAGTAAAGAGAAGGATACGGATGCAGGAGATATTGGAGAGATAGGCTTCAAAGGACTTGGCAGGTGATTGGATATGAATGTTGAGGGACAGGGGAGCATGGATCCAAAATCCAAAGACCTGGGTTCAAATCTCACCTCTGATGCTTCCTACCCATGGGACCTTAGACAAATGACTTAACCTCCCTGGGTCTTAGTTTTCTCATCTTCAAGGTGAAGGAGTTGATCTAATCCAACAGCTGACCTAGATGGCTTCAAAGGTCCCTTCCACTGCTGTAATCTTATGACTCTAAAGATGTAAATCTGGGTCCTCAAAGAACAGAAAAATAGGGAGAATGGGCAGTAGCAGATTTGGGGGCTAGGTAACTAGTTCTGTTCTGGACTCGAGTTTGAGATGTCAGTGGGGCATCCAGTAGGTGGTTAGTTCAGGAGAGAGGTCAGGGCTGGATATATAGATTTGGGACTCGTCTACATAGAAGTGATAGCTGAATTAATGGAAGTTGAGATCACCAAAGGAAAGAATAGGGAAAGAGAGAAGTAAGCCAAGGCCTTAAGCTTTGGAGACATCCACACATGGCAGGCAGGATAATAATCCAGTAAAGGAGACAGAGAAGGAGAAGAACCAAGAGACAGCAGGAGAAGAGCGTATCCAGGAAGATGGGGTTGTCAACAGTGTCAAAACCTGCATCCAGGGAAGCGAGGTGGTGCAGCGGATAGAGCACTAACCCTGGATTCAGGAGGACTTGAGTTCGAATCCGGCCTCAGACACATAACACTTACTAGCTGTGTGAACCTGGGCAAGTCACTTAACCCCATTGCCTAACCCCCCAAAAAACAAAAAACAAAAACCCTTCATCTAAGTTAGATGGAATCATCATCCGTTTCCCACCCACTAAGCGCGTGTGAGAAATAAGGCTCCACCCTGGTCTTGCTTTTCTCTCTACACTCTCTTGATCATTTGATCAGTTATCTTTGTTACTCAGCGGCTCCCAAATATAGAGAAAAATGGAACTATGTAAAAGGATGGATATTGATGATAACTATCACCATTTCCCAAGGATACTTAACAGATGTAAATCAAGTGCCATAACAAAATGCTGCCCAAAGTCTAGAACGCTTGATCTCCTAGCCAAGCACACACACACACACACACACACACACACACACACACACTATATGTATACACACATACATATGTATATGTATATATACAAATGTATATGTATATATTCACATATGTATACAGACTGTGTGTATCTTTATATACATATGTGTATCTACACATGTACATATACTTATGTATATGTGCATGCACGTATATATATGTATATATGTACATACACACATGTATATGTACATTTTTATATATACAGAGAGAGTGTGTGTATGTGTGTATACACACATGCCATCACCAGAAGACTATATATGGTATGTATATACCATATAAAGTGTGGGTATGTATATATGTATGTGACTGTGTGTGTATACAGATGTGTGTATATTCCATGACTAGAGAAAGATCGCTGTTAAAAAGATGGGTGTTTATACACATATATACGTACACAAATATGTATATGTCTTATCTGAGTGTCACTTTAAGGAGAAGTTTGGGTTCCTTAGTCTGCACAATTTCATATGTATACATACATACACACACACACCCCATTACCAGAAGAAGACTGATCACATGTGTGTGTGTGTATGATAAACACACATATACGTATGTATCTATGCACACAGATCAGTCCGACAAGCAGTTGTATGACTGAGCTGAGAATCATGGGATACGACATTTTTGAAGACTCAGAACGCTGCGTCACCCAGACAGACGTGGACTTGCAGGTGCGAGTGGGTGACTGCATCACCCAGGGGAAGCAGTGAAAGGTTTCACCAGCCGTGCATTACCGGGAAAGGTAGGCTGGTTACGAAGCTATGAAGTTGGAGGTGGCTCACAGTGTCGGGAGAGCTCTGGGAAGGCCTCCCAGCATGTTGGTGGAAGATTTGTAGGACAGTATGGGCAAGATCCTTCAAAATGGTGAAGATGCCACAGGTCTGATCACGTTCCTCCTCTGCTCAAACACCTCCAAGGATTCCCTGTCGCCTAAGATAAGACGCAGAGCCCTCTGCCTGGCCTGGAATAAAACCTCCACTGTTTTGGCTCCACTCATCTCTCCAGACTGATTTCATCTTATTTGCCCGCACACACCCTTCCATCCTCTAGCCACACTGGCCTATGAACTGCTTCTCAAAGTCTAGTTCTGGTCTCTGTGCCTCTGTCTCTCCGTGCCTGGAGTGGGATCTCTCTTTGTTCTTCTTAGAATCCCTAGCTTCCTTCAAGCCTCCGCTCAGGCACTGCCTCCTACAAGGAGCCTTCCTTGATCTGCCCTCTTGGCCCCATAATTGTCTGTGTTCTTTCCCTCCTTGAATTATTTTGTACTTATTTATTTATGTACGCCCTCATTGAAAAAGTGGTCATCCTTCTTCTCTACTTGATAAGGATGCCCTCTCGCCCCATTTAACAGTAGGTAACCATGTTCAGGTCCCCTCTGGGCTAGTTCATTTAACTGTCTCCTCTAACTCTTCTAGCCCATCTCTCTCCATCTTAGTTGAAATCTTGGGTGAATGTTCCCAGGTTCTGTGACTCATAATAACATAGGATCATATATTTGGGGCTAGAATGAATTCATAGGGTCCAAAGCTGCCAAGCCCTCAGGGAGCATCCATTCCACCCCCACTGCCCCCATTTTAGCTTATTGCTTTCCTACTCTCATGTGATTTTTTTTACCCTTTCTCTTAAGTGCTAACAAAAGACTTTTTAAAAAACTCTCCCTTTGGAGCTCAAAGGCATATAAGAAAAACACACGCTGGTACAAGAGACTAGAGCAGAAAGAGGTCTGGCGTCCCAGCAGTTTAGGATGTCAGCTACCGAGAGACAGGCCAGTGGAACAAAACACAGAAGACCCAAGCCCCTCCGGGAATCCCAGGAGTGGATTCCTTTCCTGTCCCTATCCTGGTTGTCCATCACTGCAGGCCCACACCTGGGTAATGGTCATTTCCGCCTCACCATCCCCCAGGGTGTGCGTGCCCTTTCTTCAAATGGAAAAGACTTCCCTGGGAAACTCAAGTAGGAAGGTGGATATGAGTTTCACAATTGGCTGGAATTAGAAATGTTGACCCTCTGGAAGGAAGGCTTGGGAGAGAGCTGTGGGGTCCTAGAAGGGCAGCGCTGGGAGGGGCCTCAGAAGGCAGCTAGTCCAATGCTTTCCTCTCATACGCACCCTAGGAGAAGGAGGATATGCTCTACAATGAGACTGTGACCACAGTTTTGGAAAGACAGCAACAATGAGGGCGTCATCCCTTGAAGGAACTAGAGCTCATCCCAAAGATAGAGGAGTTCGAAACCACGTAATATACAGATCAGTTTAGGAACTGGCAATGTTTAACCTGAAGCAGACTGGGGGGCATGGTGGGGAGAGGGAGGATGATGCCAGCTTCCATTATCTGAAAGGCCATCACGGGACAGAATGAGCAGCTGTGGGGTGGGGTCCTAGAGGGCACAATGGGGAGCTGCAGGTGCTCATATTTACCTTATCACCTGGAATGCCTCTCCATCCCCGTCCTCACCTCCCCCTTTTCTTGTCCAGCTCCTCCCTATCCCTCAAGGCCCAACAGGCACCATATTCTCCATCACTTTCCCTGGTTTCCCAGCCACATATGATCTCCTAACACCTTGTTTTACTTCTGTTTACATCAAGTCCCCCAACACTTTCAGCATTCAGCCAATGAACTCTTTAAGAACTGGGCCTCGGGGGCACTAGGTGGCACAGTGGACAGAGCACTGCCCTTGGATTCAGGAGGACCTGAGTTCAAATCCAGCCTCAGACACATAACACTAGCTGTGTGACCCTGGGCAAGTCACTTAACCCCAATTGCCTGGAAAAAAAAACCCAACCAAACAAAAAAGAACTGGGCCTCAATCTCCTTCAGTGATGAGCCCAGGGCTTTGCTTGCTGGCGGGTGGCTGAGGGAACGGAGGTTGGAGCCACGGCAGGATTGGTGCCATGGTCAGTCGCTAACGCCCTGCCGTGGCACAGGGCTCCACAGTCTGCGTGCTGGGCTGCGGGGGGGGGGGGTTGGGACGGTCACTCACCGAAGCACTTGCTCTGGTTAGTGGCTCTGTCCATGAACACCTTGGAGGAGATGATATTGCCGAAGGGCAGGAACATTTGCATCAGCTCGCTGTCTCCAAACTCCTGGGGGAGGTGGTAGATAAACAGGTTACAGCCTTCGGGACCTGCAGGTAGGGGGAGAGAAAGACATAAAGCCCCCAAGGAGAGGAGATGGGAGCCCGCTAGGATCCTGAGCACCCGGCCATGCAGAGGACAGCGTATCCACTCAAAGACAAGACCAAGCGATCTTCAGAAGGACCAGGGCTGCTGTCTGGGGGAGCCAAGCCCCTAGAAGATCCTGAGCTACTCCCATCCTGCTAGTGGAAGGCACTGGGGCAGCTTTGCGGTCTGGATTTTAGGTCTGGCTAAAGACTAAGGCAAAAATGCCTGAAGGTAACCCGGTCACTCACTAATGTGCAAAGTGCCTTGCATGTGAATAGCATGTCCCACACACCTCCCACCTTTAATTTGGGAATGCTTTAGGGCTTCTCATCCATTCCCCTCCTCACCGGAACCCAAGGAGGGAGAGGAGGCAGGGGTTACCATCTCCATTTTAGAGAAGATGCTGAGTCCCACCCAGGATAGAAGCCAATGGCGAAACCCAGGCTGATGACTTCCCTACACTCTTCTGCCATCCCAAACCTATATGGATTGCCAGTAGCCGAGCATGAGGGAGCTTGGGAATTGGGTATACGAAAAGGGGTGGCTTTCTGTGTGGGCTCCAGGCAAGTGCCCTGAACTGCATCCCTTGAGACAATATCAATTTTGGTGTCATGGAAAGAACCCTGAAGTCAGAAGACCTGGGTTCAAATCTCCATACTACCTGTATGACCTTGGGTAAGTACTTCTACCTGAGCCTCGATTTCCTTATCCATAAAATGAAAGGGTTGGACTAAATGATCGCTAAGATGCTTGGTGGTTCTAAATCTCAGGATTCTCTGATGCAGTTTGGGACCATTCAGGTTGCTGTAGTCCTCCACTAAACAGATATGTGACTCACAGGCATTGCTATGTGTTTGCTAGTAGGTTGAGAGGCATTCCATTGATATAAAGGAGTCAGGATGCCCAAATCTGGTTCCTGGGTTACAAGTTGGATAAGCCTAGACAAGCTGCCCAGCCTCTCTGAGTTTCAGTTCCATCATCTGTAAAATGGAGATAATACCCCACCCCCATTCATAGGCCCCTTCCGAGATGATGTGATAGCTAACATCGGGGGCATCCTTAAATTAGAAGGCTCATGTGTCCAAAGAACTCTCAGCAAGGAATCTCTGTTAGCCACAAGCACATAAAATGGCCCCAGCTACATAAACTGAAGGTTGCAATGAAATTAGGCATGGCTAATTCAGGATGTGGGCCCAGGAACATATGTACAAAAAGGTGCATATTTCCCAAGGAACCCTAGGAAAAATTGACCCATCATAGGTAGGAAAGGGCTAGAAGTTGCTCGGCAGGCCAGGTGGTTCTGGCTTGTGGTTTATTTAAGGGCCATTATGCCTACCCTTCTTGGGGGTGCGATTATTCAGGGTCTTTAGGGGGGATGTGGCAGAGGACGCCTGTCCCTTCCCCTGTTGAATTCTGTTATGGCAGCTTCTACCTCACTCTCCCTGCCTTTGACCTGAAGTGATCTCTCCTTCCTTTGTACCCCATAGGTCTTATCACAGCCTGACCATTACTTTTTTTTTTTTGTATCCTTCTCAGCCCCCTTCCAGACTGTGAGCTCTCCAGGGGCAGGGGATCTGTCTCTCTATCTGTCTAGTAGCCCAGCCCAGGGCAAGTGAATTGAATCTTTGCTCTCCTTTTATCCTTGGGGATTATTAATTTCATTTTGCAGGGGAGGAAACTGAGCCTCATTAGAGGGAAAGAAGTTGTCTTGGGCCCCCAGGATGGGATGAGAGTGTAAACCAGTGCCTTCTTGTGGGCAGAATGGGGAGGGACCAGGACAGTCTCACCTTCTCGCTGCTGCTGCTGCTGGATAATGGGCGGAGGCTGTGGGACACTGTGGGCAATGGGCGTGATGGCCGCGGTTGGATACATCGCTGGGGAGAGGGAAACAGAGGGTGAGGCGTGGAATGAACTGGGGCAAGAGGCTGCAGGGCAACAGGGACGTATGCCTACCTGTGTACTGCTGGACTCCTGAGAAAGCTGGGTGGAGGGTCTCAGCCATTGAGGGACTCTGAGCTGGAGAAGATACCAGGGGTGAGGATAACCTTGAAGAAGGGGAGGCACCCTCACCATTCTGTGCCCCCTTCCCTCCACTCATCCCTACCCCTACCACCACTTGCCACTCTGGGGACTGGGGGGCTAGGTGAGAAATGAACAGCTGGGTTGGGTGATTTGGGAGGGAATCTTGACCCAAGGCATAGCAGAGGTCGTCATAGGGTCACAGAAACAAAAGCTAAAAAGGGACCTTAGAGATCAATGAATCTAAATTCATTTTAAAGCCCAGAGAATGGAAGGGATTTGCCTGATGCCACCTTGAGAGCTTCTTGTCTCCCATCCCCCCCGTCTTCCCCATCCCCCTTTCTTGTCCACCTATCCCCGTCCCTCACTGTTCTCCTTTGCTGTCCCTATCCCCGGGCTTCCTTTTGAGGTCTCCCAGTCCAAGGCAGCTGGGATATTTGAAACTATCCTCAGCAGAGACCCTTCATCCCACCCCTGTGTTACCTGGGTAGGGCACAAGGCCATTGGCGTATACAGTTTCTAAGGCTGGATGCCCACCAGGGAAAGGCACCACACCTGCGAAGCCATTGGTGATGGGGGTGACAAGACCCGGCACAGCTGCTGTTCCTAGGAGTGGTGGAGAATGTAGCCCTAGGAGAGGAACAGAGCCAAGGTTTTCAGTCATCAGAAACATGGAGGACCCACCTACTCATCCCTCAATCCTGTGGGCCTTTCCACTTGGAAATCCCTAGGCTGGGCATTAGTTTTAGTATAGTGCTCACTCAGGGTCCTGAAAGAGGGTTATTCTAGGTCACATCCTTCAGAATCAGAGGGGCCTTGAGATTTCACCTAGTCTACTAGACTTCTCCCATTTCATAGAGTTGAAAACTAAGGCCCAGAGATGGGAAAAGCCTTAGACCAAACAGCTAGTGAGTGAGAAATGAGATCTCTTGGCTTTAGAACTTCTAATCACTGCAAACTTCCTAGAGCCTGGCTATCTGGGGTCTGTGCCAGCCACTCACCAGATGCCGGGGCGATGGGTGTAGCAGGAATCCCATTGAGGCTTACAGCGCCAATCTGCTGGATGTGGCAGGGGGAGAAGGCCACACCTGGGCTCAGGTAGCTGCCGTGGGAAGTGGACAGCACCGTGGTTTGCTGCTGCATAAGCTGGGGTCAGACAGGACAAGCTGATGTGACAGTGGCCAAAAGATCTCCTCCCCCTCCTCCTTCTCCTCCTCTATCTCTTCTTTCTCCCCCCTCCTCTTCCCCTGGGACCAGGGCGTACAAGACTGAGGGTTCTCAAGGGGATGGGGACTGTCACTTTGAAGGGCTTGGGTGGGTCCAACCCTGGTCCCCAATCCAGCTGCTGCTCTGTCTGACCACAAGAGGGCATCAGACTCCACTGAGAGTAGGTCTGGCGGGGCCGCAGGATACAGAGATACACAACCCAATGGCTGGGCACTGCCGCCGCCACACACATCCTCCATCTACCCAGCAGCTGGTCCCAGGTCCTCTCTTAGCGCCCTCCTCTAGTGGCATCTCCCCTGAGATACACATTCTTGTTGGCTAGGGAGTGGCTCAGGGGTCAGGCTGTGGCTGACCTCTACCTCCTTAGCCCTGGGCACTAAGCCCCAACCCAGTAGCCTCCTTGTCTTTCCCACCTGTGTCTTCTGACCTGGTTCCAGGGGCATGCTTCAGGATGAGGTGTCAGGATGGAGAGGAGGGCTGACCCCACATTGGGCAAGGCTCAGTGTAGTGGAGAGGGATCCCAACTCCCCTGTCCCCAGGGAGCAACCCTCTACTATTTCTACTTTCCTCTTTTCCTTTTCCTCCCATCCTCCAAAGAACAAAAAGAGATAGAGGGAGAGAAACAGACGACAGAAAAGAGAAAGAGACAGAAACAGAGAGACCTAATCAGAGAAAGGCAGATAGATATGTCACAGAGAGAACTGGATAGAGAAACAGAGAGAGAGGAAAAGAGAGAGACATGAGTAGAGAGGAGCTGAGTCAGAGAGAAGATTGGGTGGACAGAAGCACAGAGGTGGGAGGAGAGAAACAGAGGCTGAGTGAAAGCAAGATGGGCCCAGAGAAATAGATGCTGGCAGAGATGACGGAAAGAGGCAAGCAGGTAGATCGACAGACAAAGCCAAGGCCAGAAGGGTCAGGGTCAAGCCGAGGAGGAGGAAGGGAAGGGGGAGAAAGAGAGACAAAGACGCAGGAAGGCAGACAGACCTCACTGCTGAGAGATGGGGATAGGCTACTCACGGCCTGCGCGTAGGCACTGTAGGGGCCAAAGGGCAGTGTCAGGGATGGCGTGAAGATGCCCAGCTGGCCTACCATCTGCTGCATTCTCCGAAGGGTCCGCTCCTTGTCAGTATCCGCGAACTTCACCACCAGGCTGGAGGAGGCGCCCTGGGCAAGGGGCAAGGGCCGGGGAGAGAGAGGGGCGGCAAGAAGCCGGGGCCCAGGAGAGGTCCGCCCCTCTCCCCCACTTCCCGCACAGCTGGCCCACGATAACAATACACACACACACACACACACACACACACAAAGTGTCCCGCGTCCATCTAGGGCCGAGCCAGCAACCTGAGCTACCAACGCCCAAGGCTCAGGGGTGGTCCCGGGCCAACAGAGCGACTCCCACACAGACCAACTGAAATGCACCTATAGAAATGGCAGGTGACTGAACATTCACATAGGCAGACATGGACATGACCACGAGACAGATGGGCGACAAAGTGATGGAGAGTCATGCAGGCAGAGTAATCACACATCTTCCCCAGCAGGAGACCGGTAGAGAGGAGGAGGGAGAGGGGGGCACGACCCCAGGTTCCCTTATACACACATGCATACATCTTTCATAGAACGTCAGAGCCGGAAAGGGCCTTAGAGACCATCTAGGCTGACCCTGTTTTATAGAGGGGGAAACTGAGGTTCAGATTTAAGGGAAAGGACTTGTCCAAGATCACACAGTGAGGTAAAGAAGAACTGGGAACAGAAGAGCCAGGTCTTCTGGCTCCTAGCCCACTATGCTAGGCTGCCTCATCTCTTATGACAGTCATACTCCCTAGTTACACACACACACACACCCCAATACACTCAACCACATCCCTAGGTATCCTGACCCTGGGGCCTGAAGCAGCAGATCCCAGAGGTGTCCTTGGCAAGAGAGTGACCATCATCCCATGATCATTGAACACTGCCCAATACAAACATTGCCAATGCCCATTTACAGTTTCTGAATGAGTGTCTGCCTTCACTTCATACTCATTACCCCCCCACACACACCAGGTGCCCCTTCTGGTTTCCCTGTCTTAAGTAGCCTCTCAGAGTCTACGGAATCCTCACTCCCTCTCTGTGTAGGAATGCCCTCTACTCAGAATACCTTCTATGGGTGTGCTGAAGCCAGCTTCAACCGGCCTGAGAAAGCTGATTGTTAAATTTCCAGTGGGAGCATTTATACCTCAAAAATCAGCAAAGCTACAAATCAGGGCTTGATGTATTGTTTTGCTAATGGTCTGGGGAAATGTTAATAATATGGAGTAAGCTTTTAAAAAAAGTGTTGGGCATATATTCTTTCTTTCTTTCTTTTTTTTTTTTGGAGACCTGGTTGTTAAACATTTATGAGCGCACCACATCGCTAATTGGGTTCCGTAGACTCTCAGAGTTGAATGTACCCTCCTCAGTGGCATCTAGTCCAATCTATACCTGAAAAATAATCCTCCAGTGCCGCATGCCCCACAGGGGGTCACTTAGCTTTCATTTGAAGGAGCAGGAGAAAGCTTCTTCCTGCTAGGCAGCCCGGTCTACTAAACGAATCGTTCAGAAGTTTTTCCCTACATCAAAACCTAAATTTGCGTCTTCCCCACTTCCACTCATTACTCCCAGTGCTTCTCTGTGGGGCCAACAAGAATGTCTAGCTTTTCTTCTGCGTGAAGGCCCTTGCAATACTTCAGGACAGCTGGGTTATTCCCCATTGAGTCTTTCCTTCTCCAGGCCAAGTTTCTCCTATAGCACGGATCCCAGGCCCTTCCTCACGGCTGCTCGCCATCTTTGTCAGCAGCTGCCTTAGAATGTGGCTCCGGTGTGGTCAGACCAGAGCGTCCAGCCCCTGCCTGCTCAACTCCAGTGACAGACCTTGCCCGATACCCATTCCCATTCCATTGTGGGACAGCGTGGATGGTCAAGAAGTTATTCTTTATTTGGACCTGAAATGGGCCTTCCTATGACTCTTGTTTCCTACTGCCCCTAGTTCTGCTCTATGCTGGGGCCGAAGAGAACAAGTCTACTCTGTAAAGGCCCTTCAGTTCTTGGACGGCCATGACCTTTGTGCTTGTGAAGGCTTCTGCTCTTCAGAATGGACATTTCCTCCTTCAGGCTCTCACCAGGACTTTTGAATGAGGCTCCTAAACCAGTCTGCTTGCCACCACTTTTTCCTTTCACGATCTTTTTAGCACAAACAACCAGAATCATCTTTCTACAACCCGGCTCTAGTCTTGTCTCTACCCTGTTCATATACCATTACTGGATCTGCCGCGGCCCATGGGCAGGAAGCCCAGACTCTTTAGTCTGACATTCGAGGCCCTCTCTGATCTTCCTCCAGTCTCCCTCTCGAGCCTTGTTGTATCTCCCTGCCAGGTACCATCAGCTTTAGTAAGCATGGCCTACTTGATAGTTCTTGAAGACATCATACCCTTTCCCACCTGCAGATCTTTGCTCACATTGCCTGCTCTGCTCTTCCCTACTCTTCACCTGTCAAGATCCTCCCCATCTTTTAAGGCTCAATTCAAATATCCCCTCCTCTGGGCAGCATCCCCTGAGAGCCTAGACTGGTAGTAACCTCTTCCTCCTCTGAGTCCCAAGCGCGTATCCTAGTTACCCCCTCTTATTCCTCTGCTGGACTGTGAGCTCCCTGAGGTCAGGGGCTGGGACTGGACCCTGTTCTCTCCCATTGTGTAGTGGGTGTCCACTGACTCGTCTCCTGCATAGACCACTGAGTCTGGAAGATGCCTCTGCTGGATTAAAGCCAGGATTAAAGGCCGTGTTTTCTGGCTCTGGGACGTGCCCAGCCTGGGTGCACCGGGGGGGGGCTGGGCAACCTGTAGTCCTGGTGTCCCCCTTCCCCTCCTTCCATCCCCCCGGCACCTCATACTCACTGGCATTGTCTGGCTGCCATGGAGGGCATGGATGGCAGCCTGGGCTTCCGTGTGGGACGAGAACTTCACAAAAGCACAGCCTGTGTGGGGTAGAGAGGGAGGGATGGAGAGGAAGGTGAGACAGACTTACTTTTTTCCTCTCCTTGCCTTCTCAAGCCTTAGTGACTAGTGGGAGGGGGAGGGCAAGCTTCCAACATTGCACAGACGGGCATGACAGACGGACACAACTGTATGGTGAGACAGGCAGTCAGATGACCAGAGCTGGGCAGCCCGACGGAGACAGAGGACATCAGACAGTTACATGCAGTCAGCCAGGCGGACTCAGGCAGCCGGGTCTGACAGAGACCAGTAGATACGATCAGACGGAGGAGAGCCAGGCACAGTTGGATGGACAGGCAGACAGGCAGACGAGCAGCATGCCCTCGAGGACCATGAGAGGCTCCCTCCCTCCCTCCTCTCTAGGGCACAGGGAGCACCTTTACTATTCCCATCAGGGCCCCGGAGCACGGTGCACTCGTCGATCACCCCAAAGGGCTGGAAAAGCCGAAGAACGTCCTCCTCAGATTGCTGCTTGTTCAGCATGCCCACGAAAAGCTTCCGGTCCCCTGGGGGGGTGGAGGAGATGGCGACGTCAGCCTCAACAGGACCAGATAGCCCGGCCCCGGGCAGGAGAGCTAGAGCAGGGGATGGCCCCAGCGGAGATCCTGCTGGGCCTTTAATCACCCTCTTTGTTAGACCTCACCCCTGGGCCTGTGTCCCAAGAGAGAAGAGGAGGGGATGGCAGTTGACTGAGGTGGGGAGGACAATGAGGGCAGCAAGGGGCAGGATTCTGATTCTTTCTCTGAAGGGAGGAAATGTCATAGGATCCTAGCATCCCAGAGGTCACCATCATCTCATTAGACTTCCTGCCTGGGTGCTTCCAGTGATGGGGAGCTCACTCCCTCCTGCTCAGCCCATTTCATTATGGGAGATCCCTAATTTTTCACAGTAGGAATCTTGGTTTTTGGAGGCATTAATTGGAGTTACAGCTAGCAAGTATCTGAAGTCAGATTTGAACTCAGGTCCTCCCGACTCCACACAGAAGGAATCTTAAAGATTTTTAGTCCAGTTTCCTCCTTTTACAAGTGAAGAAACTGAGGCCTCAAAAAGTGAATCGACTTGCCCCAGGCCACACGAGGAGTATGGAGCAGAGCTGAGATTTCAACCCAACTAGGATTCCAACTCCAATATTTTCCCACTTTATCTCATAGAACATTCTTCTTTATATTGAACTGAAATCTGCCTCTCTAGAAATCCCCTCCATTGCTCCCGCTTCTGGGACCAAGCCAAACAACACTGCTCCTTCTCCACTAAGGAGACTAACATTAGCTGCCTGGAAAACTTTGCTCAGGGTCTAGGCTGGCAGGCGTAGGCCCAGTAAGGTGGCCTCCAACCCCCTCTCTTCTTCCTTGCAGGGCGTCCCCCCAAGTGGCTCTTCCCATCTCTGGATTTCTCTCCTCTCTGGTCCCTATCTCTAGATCACAGAGTCTCAGGGTTGGAAGGCAACACAAGACCACTTGGTCCAACCTGCATGGGGACAAGAATCCCCCATCCACATCATTCTTGGCAAGTGGCCCACCAGCCTTGTTTGAAGACCTCCGGAAATACAGAAGGGTTCTGCTAGCTCCTGAGGCAGCCCCTTCCACTTTGGGACCCTTCTCATCCTCAGGAAATGTTTTTCCTGACATCAAATCTCTTTTTTTTTTTTTTTTTGCTTTTTGGTGATTCGATCGGGGTTAAGTGACTTGCCCAGGGTCACACAGCTAGTAAGAGTTAAGTGTCTGAGGCTGGATTTGAACTCAGGTCCTCCTGATTCCAAGGTCAGAGCTCTATTCACTGCACCACCTAGCTGCCCCTCTGACATCAGATCTCAACTGGCTTCCTTGCAATTTCCACTCCCAGTTTCTGGCTCTGCCTTCTAGGGTCTCTCCAAGGTAGTCTTCCAAAGATTGGAAGGATTCCTTTCTTCTAGGTGGAAGCTGGTGGTGCATTGGATAGGCTGCTTGGCTTAGACTCAGCTTCAAATCTGGCCTTCCTAGCTGTGTGACCCTGGGCAAGTCATTTAACTTCTGACTGCCTCAACTTCTTCAGCTGTAAAATGAGGGTAATAATAGCATCTACTTTACAGGGTTGTTGGTGAAGATCAAATGAGTTAACATTTGTAAAGCTTTTGTAAGGCACAGTGCCTAACATATAATAGGCACTATATAAATCCCCTTCCTCCCTCCCTTCTCCAGGCTAAATGTTCCTCTTTCCTGACTCTCACATGGAGTGATTTCAAGGTCCTTCAATATCCTGGTTGTCTTCCTCTCTTCCTTCTCCAGCTTATCAGCCTCTTTCCTAAAATAAAATACCCGGAATTGCACAGAATATTCCAAATAAGGCACGGGCAGGGCATAATGAGACCACTGCTTCCTTATTCCCGGACACTATGCCTCTTTTAAGGTAGATATTTGATTTTTTTGACCTCGACATCACACTGCTAATTCATTGTGAGGGTCCATTAAGACCCTCATAGCTTTTTCAGTTAAATTTCTTGTCTAGCCACACCTCCCCTTTCTTGTCTCTGAGCTTCTGTCTACCACAGAATCACAGAAGTATAGAACATCAAAGTAGGAAGTGACCTTAGAATTTAGAATGTAGGCTATTGGCCTTAGAAATGATCTTAGAAAATGTAAGAGAATTTTAGAGCTGGAAGGGCCCTTAGAACATAGAATGGCAAGACTGGGAGGCCCCTTAGAACAAGGAATGTCAGAGCTGGGAAAAGCCTTAGAACACAGGATGTCAGAGCTGGGAGGACCATTAAAACACAGGATGTCAGAGCTAGGAGGGCCCTTAGAACAAAGAATGTCGGGGCTGGGAGGGAGCTAACAACATGGAATGTCAGAGCTGGGAGGACCTTTAGAACACAGAATGTCAAGACTGGGAGGGCCCTTAGAACAAGGAATGTCAGAGCTAGGAGAGGTCTTAGAGCACAGAATGTCAGAGCTGGGAGGACCTTTAGAACACAGAATGTCAAGACTGGGAGGGCCCTTAGAACAAGGAATGTCAGAGCTAGGAGAGGTCTTAGAGCACAGGATGTCAGAGCTAGGAGGGCCCTTAGAACAAGGAATGTCAGGGCTGGAAGGACCCTTAGAACATAGAATGTCAAGACTGAGAGGGCCTTTAAAACAAGGAATGTCAGAGCTGAAAGGGCCCTTAGAATAAGAAATGTCAGGCTTAGAACAGAGAGTGTCAAAGCTAAGAGGTAGTTTACAGACCATTTAGTCCAGTTATTATTTTACAGAGTGGGGAAAAAAAGGTTCCAAGAGCAGAAGGGACTTGCCCCAGGTCAGAGAGAGCCAGGAATAGAATCTGGGCTTCCCAATTCTCAGGCTTGACTCCAGGGACAGAGACCCTAGCAGGAGCCTCGGCTCTAGGGTGCCTGGAGAGAGCATATCCCCACATCCCCATCCCTTGTCCAGGCATCCTCCTCTGCCTGCTCCCCCATCTAAACCAGCTTTTCACTATGGAGTCAACAGGTTGGCCTGTCTGCTGCCAGGCAGGGGGAGGGCAGCGGGTCTAAACCCAGGGGAGGGAGTGGGCATGGGTGCCCTCTCCTATTGGTTCTAAGAGTCACCTGACCATCTCCCCCCTCAGTTTTTTTTCTTTCCTTGGCGTGGCAATTTCCTGCGCTGTCCAGCAATCAGGAACATTTTATCTTCTCCTCCCTCAATGTTGAGTTGCATTGCCATGGAAACCTATTCTTGTCAGTCATTGGTGGGATTGGTTGGGGTGGGGGGGAGGAAGTGGAGGGCATCGAGGAGAGAAGAGCATCTTGTCTGATGGAGCCCTGACAGAGAATATTAGAGGGTGAAGGTCTGAACCATGGGAGGCAAAGATGAAAAAGAAGAGCTGGAATAGGGAGGCAAACACTGAGAGCCGCTCGGAGTGTCCGGCTCCCTTCCACCCTCTCTCAGTGCAGACCAGTGTGCTGAGCAGGCAGCCAGAGGTGGGGGAGGGGGCTCCACTGCCCCCAGAAGTCCCTGGTGCAACCTTTCCCCCTTATCCATCTATCCTGGTATATACCTCTCTCCGCTACATCCAGGGAGACACCCAAGGCAAACCTGCTCTCTCTCCTTGGAGATGGTGAATCTCTGATTCTTTAGGCAAGCTCTCACTGTCTTCCTCCCTCCCCATGGATGATGAAAGGGTCCTGGATGGCTTAGTGTCTCTTTGGGGTTTTGTCCCTTTCCCAGCAATACCTTGGAGGGTGACAGGGGCCCCGGGCAGTTGGAGAAACAGCTTGGGCTGGGGCTTTCTTGCATTTCTTCAAGGCAAGGGGTAGGTGTAGATACCCACCTCCATGCCTAGCTAGGTTTTACATTCCTTTGCCCTTTAAGTTGGGATGGCTAACCCCTCTAAAGAGGTCTGATTAGAAGAGAGAACAGTCCCCCTTCTCCTATTGTCTGGGGATGAGATGCCCGAAAAGCAAGACATTCCTCAGTGTTTCCCCATCATTCCTGAACAGCTGCTTCCTCAAGGATGGAGAAGGCTTCAGAGGCAGAGTCGGGGAGGCAGGAGGGGACAACAATAATAATGATTATAATAGCTTCCATTCTATAATAACATACAGTTTACAAAATGCTTTTCTTACAGAAATTCCTCTGGGGTGGGCAAGAATGTTACCTCTATTTTCTGTGCCAAGACGCTGAGAGGTTATGTCATTTGCCCACTCACCCCACTGATGAGTGGCTCAGAAAAGAACCTTGGTGTCCTGCCCACCCAGGTGAGGGCTCTTAGCACTTACTGCCTGAGAGCTGAGAAGGGAGAGGCACCTGGGATGCGGTGAACATTAGGTACTCCCTAGAAGGGAGGTGGGCTTAACTTTGGCCCCCTGGAGGCCAGCGGGGAGAGACTGGCCTGTGTGTGAAGAAGGAGCTAAAGAATTCAGGCCAAGGCACACCGGCCACATAGCTTCACCAGCCAGTATGGCCCTGGCCACGCAGACCCTAGGCTGTTTCTGCTTCCCTGCCCTCGACTGTGCTCCCTCCCCCAATCTTTTCTGCCCTATGAATTGTCCCTCCTCCCTTTAGCTGTGCTTGACCCTAAGAAGGGCCTCCCTCCCTGCCTAGAAAGGAGGGGTGGCCCAAAAGGCATGATGGGAGTTGGAGTGGTGTGGGGGCTGCTCCTGCCATGCTTTTCTGTATGAGGTATGTGGAAGGAGCCCATATTTTTCTTGTTTCCTTTTTTCTTTCTTTTTGACTTTTAATTTAGTATTTTATTCCCCACCCAGTTACATGGGACCCATATTTTTCAAACCAAACTATCTAGATCCTGTCTGACAAATTCTGCAAAGCCTCGTTCAAAGTAACATTTCTTTCATAGGATCTCAGACTTCCAACTTGGAAGGGACCTCCAAGACCACTTTGTCCAACCCTCTCATTTTACAGTGAAAGACACTGATGGCTTGGGAGGACTTTCCCAAATTCACACAGGTCGTCAGCGGCAGGGCCAGGATTTGAACCCACGCCTCCTGGCTCCAAATGCAAGGTAATTCTATAAAACATACAGAATGTCTCTTTTTCACAGAACCCAGGTAGCCTTGGTAAATCCTGGAGGAATGGTCCATGAAGACGTAGGGTACACTTGGGAGAGAGGGAAAGGGGACCGAAGGGCTGAGGGGCTGAGAGATCAAGGGTCTGAGGGGCTGAAAGGACCATAGAGGCAGGGGCTGAAGAATTAAGAAAACTGCTGGGGATTGGAGCAGTGAGGGAAGGGGTCTGCACGGACTGGGGGAACTGAGGTGTTTGAGGTGCAAAGAGGGGCCAAGGGACTCAAGTGGTTCAGGAGCTGAAGAGACAAATGTAATTCACAACAGCCAGGCCTGAGTGGACCCTCTGACCGAGGATGGAGGAAACAGGGACCAAGTGCCGTTATCCAAACGGAAGTCTGGAGAAGGGCCAGAGAGCTGGGTATGTGTACATTGTAGGTGACCCACAGCGTATCAAGACTAAGCCTTGCCCTGGGGGTTGGAGTCCCAAGTTTATCCAGGGGATTAAGGGGCTGGGGGAACAAAGAAGCTTAACAATTACCTCCACGGCTCTCACTGTCCGCAGGCTTCACCTGGATTGGTCGTGCCATCTGCAGAGAGAAAAAGAGATGGTGGGAAGTTAGAAGGGCTCTGGTCCTTATGGTGGGAAAACCCTTGGGGTCAGGTGGGCTGGCTGATTCATTTTCCTGGCGAGGCGGGGTTTGGCTTTCCTTTGGCAAAAGGTCGTCCTTTTTTTCCTTGGGCCCAATAAGACAGGTTCCTCTCACCTAGTTCCATGAAGGATGAGGGGTATAGAATAGGGTTGAACTTGGCCGCAGTGGTCCCATGCACCTGCCACAGAGGTAGGCAGAAGATGCTATAGGATTCAGGGTGGAGACAACACTATCCAGGTTGCCTGGCTTTTAGCTAGTTGCCTTCAATGGAAGGGAGAGACAGCATTAGAGACTTCCCCCCCCCCCAATCCACACATATGGGGACAGAAGGGATATGCTGAATTCCTCCAAGTCTTAGAAGCCTTGATATTCCTTTCGGAGAGAAATCCTTGGCTCATAGATCTAAGGCAAATTATTGAGATGAATCAGAAATGTTTGGGCCCCACACCCAAACTAGGATCAAAGAATGTTGGAATGAGAGTACCCATAAAACAGACTGTCAGAGCTGGAAGGGACCACTGACCGCTGGAAGAACACTAGGGATCTAGCCAATAGTTTGGGATCCCTTTCTGAGGCAGAGTGGGCATTGTGATTCCAGTCATGTCCTCAGACTGCTTTTCTCTCTGCCTGACCACCTACTGGGGCCAAGGACCTCGTGCTTCCCAGTCCCAATCAACAGACATTTCTGCCCACTGACAGACCTAAAATCCCTAGACTCCCCCGTACTACCAGGCCTTCATCTTTGAAGCTTCATCTGAAGGCCTCTCTGCTCATTAGCTATGGGGTCCCAATGGGTGATTGCATGACCCGTTACATTACGGAAAGGACTAGAGTCTTTGGAACACACATCTGCGTATACCTTTGAAATTTCCTCCATCCCTCTGAGTGGCGTTCAGGAGCAGAATCGGTACCGATAAGCAGATCAGGGGTCAAGTGGCTTCGGAGTGGGTTTGAGTGGTGGGGAATTTTGTTGGGGAAGTGGTGAGTGTCTCTATGTCCTCACAAACTCCCAGAATCTCATAGCTGGAAGGGACCACAGGAGCCTTCTACTCCAATCCAGACTCTCCCTGAGCAAGAATCTGCTTTCCTCAGTATCTGCTTGACCGATGGCCATACAGCCTTCTCATGAGGATCCCTAGTGAGGGAGAACTCACTGCCTTTCCAGCTAGCTCATTCCATCTTGGAACAGCTCAAATTATTAGGAAGTTTTTCCTTATAGCAAGCCTGAATCTGCCTCTTTACAACTTCCAGTCAGTCCATAAACATTTATTAAGTGCCTTCTATGTGCTAGGTACTGTCTTAAATTCAGAGGATACAAAAAGAGGCAAAAGACAGTCCCTGCCCTCAAGGAACTCGCAGTCTAATGGGGAGAGAACAGGCAAACAAACACATATAAACCAGCTACAGAAGGAAGGGTAAATAGGAAATAATAAAAAGGGGGAAGTTGCTAGAATTAGGAGGGACTGGAAAAGTTTTCCTATGAAAGATGAGATTTTAGTTAGGACTTAAGCTGTGGGGGGGGGCGCAGCTAGGTGGTGCAGTGGATAGAGCACTGGTCCTGAAGTCAGGAGGACCTGAGTTCAAATCCAGCCTCAAACCAAACACTTAACACCCTGGGCAAGTCACTTAACCCCAGTTGCCTAAAAATTAAAAAAATATATTTAAAAAGCCAGTAGGTGGAGATGAGGAGGGAGAATGTTCTAGGCTTGGGGGGCAGCCAAAGAAAATACCTGGAACTGGGAGAGGGGTGGGTCTTATTTGTGGAACAGCCAGGAGATCAGTATTACTGTATCAAAGAATACGTGGTGGGAAGTAAAGTGTAAGAAGACTGGAAAGGTAGGAAAGAGCCAGGTAATGAAGGGCTCTGAATGCCAAACAGAACATTTTGTATTTAATACTGGGGGTAATAGGGAGCCACTGCAGTTTATTGAGTAGATGAGTGACATAGCCGGAACATACTTTAGGAGACTCACTTTGGCAGCTGAATGGAGGGTGGATTGGAGTAGGGAGAGACTTGAAGCGGGAAGCCCACCAGAAAAGTTGTTGTTGTTCAGTCATTTCAGTTGTGTCTGATTCTTCATGACTCCATTTGGGGTTTTCCTGGCAAAGATACTAGAGTGGTTTGCCATTTCCTTCTCCAGCTCATTTGACAGATGAGGAAACTGAGGCAAACAGGGTGAAGTGACTTGCCCAGGGTCACACAGCTAATGTCTGAGGCCAGATTTGAACTCACAAAGATGAATCTTCCTGACTCCAGGCCCAGTACGCTATTCACTGTGCCACCTAACTGCCCCCAGATCCATCAGAAGGCTATTGCAATAGTCCAAAGCGTGAGATCAAGACAGCCTGCACCACATTGTGTGATGACCAGCTCGAATAGACTTAGCCCTTCTCAGCAATACAGTGATCTAAGACAATTCCAAAAGACTCATGATGGAAAATGCTATCCAGAGAAAGAACTATGAGGTCTGAATGCAGATTGAAGCATACTGTTTTTTTTCTTTTTTTTCTTTCTCATGGTTTTTCCCTTTTGTTCTGATTCTTCTTTCACAACATGACTAATGTGGAAATATGCTTAATATGATTGTACATGTATAGCCTATATCAGATTGTATACCATCTTGGGGAGGGGGGAGGAAGAAAAAAATTTGGAACTCAAAATCTTATGAAAATGAATGTTGAAAACTAAAAATAAAGAGAGAGAGAGAGAGAGAGAGAGAGACAGAGAGAGACAGAGAGAGAGAGAGGAGAGAGAGAGAGAGAGAGAGAGAGAGAGAGACAGAGACAGAGAGACAGAGACAGAGAGACAGAGACAGAGAGAGAGAGAGAGAGAGAGAGAGACAGAGAGAGAGAGACAGAGAGAGAGAGACAGAGAGAGAGACAGAGAGAGAGAGAAACAGAGAGAGAGACAGACAGAGAGAGAGACAGAGAGAGACAGACAGAGAGAAGAGAGAGAGAGAGAGAGAGAGAGAGAGAGAGAGAGAGAGAGAGACTGACTGCACCAGAAGGGTGGCAGTGTTGAAGGAGAGAAGGGGGCATATTTAAGATATGCTGCAAAGGTGAAATCAACAGTCTTTGGTAACAATGTGGATATCGGGAGTGAGGAGTCCAGGATGATAACTAGTTTGTGAGCCTGGGGGACTGGGAAGATGATGTTCTCTTTGACAGTAACAGAGAAGTTAGGAGGGGAAGGGGGTTTAGGGAGAAAGATAATGAATTCAATTGTGGACATGTTGAGTTTCAGATGTCAACTGGATATCCAGTTCAAGATGTCTGAAAGGCAGCTGGAGGTGCAAGACTGGAGGTCAGCAGAGGGGTTCGAGCAGGAAAGGTAGATTTGAGGATCATCAGATAGAGATGGTAATTAAATCCACGGGAGCTGATGAGATCAGCAAATGAAGCAGTAAAGACAGAGAAGAGAAAAAGGCCCAGGACAGAGCCTTGAGGGACACCTGTGATTGGAGGGCATGGTCTGGAGAAGCATCCAAGAAAGGAGACGGAGAAGGAGAGGTCAGATAGGAGGAGAACCAGGAGAAAATGGTGTCCTGAAAACCTAGAGAGAAGAGAGTATCAGGGAAGAGAGGGTGACGAACAGTGTCAAAGGCTCAGAGAGGTTGAGGAGAATGAGGATTGGGAAAAAGCCAATGGATTTGATAACTAAGAGAACACTGTTAATTTTGGAGAGAGCTTTGGTGGAAGGATGAGGTCAGAAGACATTATAAGGTGTTAAGGAGACAGTGAGAGGAGAGCAAGTGGAGGCACCTATTGTAGATGGCCTTTTTGAGAAACTTAGCCACAAAGGGAAGAAGAGATTGTAGGATGACAGTTAGCAGGAGCTGGGGGAATCATATGAGGGTTTTTTTCAGGACGGAGGAGACGTGGATGTGTTTGTAGGCAGTAGCAGATGATCCAGTAGACAGTGAAAGAAGGCAGATGATAAGTGATAACCGTTCCTAGTTCTCTGCTTTGGAGCTTTCCCATATGAAATCCCTTAAAATATTGGAGACAATGTTTGTGTCTCTCCAAGTCTTCTTTTCTACTGGCCGAGCAGTCCCTTCATCCTTTGCCTCATTCTCATGTGGTCTAATCTTGAGGCCATGCCCCACCCCAGTTGCCTTGGCCTCCTTTGGACACTCTCCAGTTTATCAATGTCTTTCCTAAACACTTTAGACATGGCCTAGCTAGGGAAGAGGACAGAGCGACTAGCACCTCATTCATCCTGGATATTACACGTATCTTAATGTGACTTCAGATGGAGTCATATTTTTAGGGCTGCCGTATCATAGCATCAACTCATCTTGAATTTGTAGTCCAGATTTTTTTTTTCAGGACATCTAATCAGGGTTCCCCCATCTTGTACTTGGAAAGTTGAGTTTTTTGAATTCAAGTGTGGGATTTTATACGTATCCCTATTAGATACTATCTCAGTAGATTTGGCCCAACATTCTACTCTGTTGAGATCTTTTTTGGATCCTAATTCTGTCATACAGTATATTGGCTATCCCTCCTGGATCTGTGTCAACTGTAGATCTGATAAGTATGTCTATGTTGTCGTTGAGTCATTTCAGTCCTGTGCTACTCTTTGTGATCCCATTTGAGGTTTTCTTGGCAGAGACGCTGGAGTGGTTTGCCATCTCCTTCTCCAGCTCATTTTACAGATGAGGAAACTGAGGCAAACTGGGTTAGGTGACTTGCCCAGGGTCACACAGTTTTCTTGGCAGAGATACTGGAGTGGTTTGCCATCTCCTTCTCCAGCTCATTTTACAGATGAGGAAACTAAGGCAAACAGGGTGAAGTGATTTTCCCTTTTGTTCTGATTCTTCTTTCACAACATGACTAATGTGGATATATGTTTAATATGATTATACATGTATAGCCTAGATCAGATTGCATGCCATCTTGGGGAGGGGGAAGGGGAGGGAGGGAGAAAAACATTT